GCCGCAGAGGTGTCTCGAATGGAAACCGATGTTATCTCGTTGATGCCAGGTGTTGTTTCTGACATTGACGATTCATTATCAACAACGGTACTCTGCGAAAGCGCCTGTCGATTCCGATACCTTGTTCCAGGAAGTGCGACTATGGGAATGATAATATTTGTATGTCCATGGGGGCCTCAATATATCTACACTGCCCACTTGGATGACACGAATTGGTACTGACTGTTCTGTGATCCTTCCTGAGCCTCCTCGCCATAACCGCATTCAATCCAACCCCCTTCCGTAGCTTGGAGGTCCGCCACAAAGCCGCCTTCAATCCGATTGAGTATTCCTCCTCCTGCTCATCATCCTACGCCTCTAGAAGTCTCTGAAACCACCCCCAGGGGCTTCTGCAGGCTTCGGACGTCTCTGGAGGCATCCGACAGTGAAGAAAGGCGGTCCCAACACATCGATTCTATGTCCTGCACCTTCTCCTCCTCCTCCTCCTCATCCTTTTCTTTTCGGGCGACGAAATCTACACATTTCCACTGCTCCCTGGCCAGGCCCATTCTGAACCCCGGAGCTGTGTATACGCCCTCCTGGCCGAGCCAGGAGTGCGTGGCGTATACACCGCTGCTGGGCTCAAAATGAACCTGGCCAGGGAGCAGTGAATATGTATAGACTCCGTCGCCCTAACATGATCCTCCTCGTCCTCGTCCTCGTCCTCCTCCTCCTTTCTCCTCCTCCTCCTCCTCCTCCTCCTCCTCCTCTCCTCCTCCTCCGTTCCTTTTCCTCCGCCTCCTCCTCCTCCTCCTCCTCCTCCTCCTCCTCCTCCTCCTCAGTGCCCACTCTCCTGCATAGGTGCTGCATGCCCAGCCTTGCCGCCCCTGGGAGCTGCGGCCCGCGTGCGTGCGACGCGGTCGAGTCCTGACCGCCTCCGTGGCCCGTCACGGGTGCCGCGAGAGGGAGCGCAGCAAAGCGTCCACCCTCCAAACTTCTTGGCCTGCTGAGAAGGAGAAACACAGGACAAAAAACACGGCCAGCGGTTGCTCATTATTTTCGACCTCTCGGGGCCTTCGGGGCCGTCAAACAACGACTCGGCATGACAAACCGGCTCCAGGGAATAGGTCGAAAATTCCTGGGGGTCGAAGTGATGAAACAATTTGCTTGTCGAAGGGCCCAACCATCTGCAGCTGTGAGCACCGTCGTGGTATGTACCACATTCGGAGGAGCTCTTTATGTCACCACAGCTTCTGAGGGGTGTGCCAATATGGGTGCGCTAGGCGCATGCGACCGCAGCCGCTGGAGCCGTCGGTGGGGCTCCCTATGGGGCCACGAAGCGTGCGAGGGGGTTGCCAAAATCACTGCGGCAGGCGCATGCGAACGCCGCCATTGCGGCCGTCTTAGGTGAGGATCCCTATGGGGCCACGAAGCGCGGGAGGAGTGTGCCACAATTGGCGCGGTGGGCGCATGCGAACGCAGCCACTGGGGCCGTCGGTGGAACACCCTATGGGGCCACGAAACGTGTCAGGGTGTGCCGAAATGGACGCGGTGGGCGCATGCGAACGCAGCCACTGGGGCCGTAGGTGATCCGTGTGGTGTCACGAAACTTGTGCGGAGTGTGCCAAAGTGGGCGCGGTGGGCCCATGCGAACGCCGCCATTGGGGCCGTCGGTGGAGCTCCCTGTTGGGCCACGAAGCGTGTGAGGGGTGTGCCAACACGGACGCGGTGGGCGCATGCGAATGCAACCATTGGGGCTGTCGGTGGGGTTCGCTATGGGGCCACGAAGCGTGTGAGGGGTGTACCAACACGGACGCAGTGGGCGCATGCGAACGCAATCATTGGGGCCGTCGGTGGAGCTCCCTATGGGGCCACGAAGCTTGTGAAGGGTGTACCAAAAATGGGTGCGGTGGGCGCATGCGAACGCAGCGAGTGGGGCCGTCGGTGGAATTCCCGATCTGGCCACGAAGCGTGCGAGGGGTGTGCCAAAGTCGGCGCGGTGGGCCCATGCGAGCGCAGCCACTGGTATCGTCGGTGGAGCTCCTTATGGGGCCACGAAACATGTGAGGGGTGTGCCAACATGGGTGCGGTGTGCGCATGCGATCTCAACCCTTGGGGCCCTCGGTAGAGTTCTTTGTGGGGCCACGAAGCGCTTGAGGCGGTGAGGGGTGTGCCACACTGGGTGCTGTGTATGCTTTTGAACGCAGCCACGGTGTGACTCCCCATGGGGCCACGGAGCGTGTGAGGGGTGCGCCTAACTTTGTGCGGTGGGCGGCGAGCGCAGCCACTGGGGCCGTCGGTGGAGCTCCCCGTGGGGCCACGAAGCGTGTGAGGGGTGTGCAACATGGGTGCGGTGGGCACACGCGAACGCTGGCATGTGGGCTTGCGGTGGAGCTCCCTATCTGGTTACGAAGCGTGTGTGGGGTGTACCGACATGATTGACTGGTGCGCATGGCAGAGGCAAGGAGGGGGAGGAGGAAGGAGGGAGGGGGAGGAGGAGGAGAGATTGACGCGGGGCGCT